CTCAGAATGTGTTTCTCAGACATCCAATTTCACCACTGTAACACCAAAAAATATTACTGAAGTAAGTCGGAACCACCGCTGCTCTTTCCCGAACGTCCCAAATCTGCTGGTGTAATTACAATCGTTAAAACTGTGCTAAGGCGAGCGAAGGCAAAATCCATAGCAGGAGACTTGTCTCTGTTGGTAAAAAAAAAATAAAAAATGCAAATCACCATTTGAGTATTTCACTTTCAGCGGTTAGAGTGTTAAGAGCAACAACAAAAAAATCACAAAGGAGCCTACAGCCACCCTTGGCCTTGGTATATCAACCAATCATCGTGGAGACGAAAATTACACGATACGTAGATTACATGAGTTTGAACTGCTACCACTGATAATGTACCAACTACCTTAATTATAGAGAGAGATATCAAATATTTGATCGGCAACACATTTACCAAGCTACCGTTTAACAGCAGCTACAAATGAAATCAATCAGCTTCACTTAACACTTTAACACGGACATTTAAAGGGACAGAAGGATAGATGTTTGCTTCAAGTGATAGGCTAGGTTAGTGAAATTATATTGCTGTCCTGAATATGTGCCATTTTCTGTCTAAAAGTGACCCCAAAAAAAGAAGAAAAAATCCTGGGGAGGGGATCCCCAGACCTCTATTATTTAGTGTGCTTCCTCTATTTTAAAACCCACCAGCTGACACTGCATTTAAAGGGATAGTTCAACCTGAAAATTGTGTCATCATTGGGGCCTATCATACACCCTGGCGCAATGCGGCACGACGCAAGTGTTTTTTGCTAGTTTCAGCCTGACGCAGTTATCATTTTCACGTCCTGCACCACGTTGTTTATAAAGCAAATACATTTGTGCGCCCATGGACGTGCTGGTCTGAAAACGTGGTGTATTCAGGCGCATTGTTGGCACATTGTTATATTGAGGCAACTGAAATAGACTGCGCCATTGACCAACTGAAACCTGGTCTAAAGTCAATGGCGCAGTATTTTGTTATTTAAAAGGCTTATTACACAAACAGGGACACGCAGCAGCACATAAACTTGTTAAATATTAAAAAATAAAAGGATTACAATGTAAAAGATTATTATTGTGTACATAGCGATATGGTGGAATTAGGCTTGTCCTGTAGATGGTCTGCTTGAGCGCTTTAACCTCGCGCATGAGCAGATCCGTTCTCTGGAGAAGCATTCAGTCTTTCCACTTGCAAATTTTGCCATGTAAATAGGGAATGGGAGATAAGACTCTGATTGGTTTATTGCACGTTACGCCCAAAACACACCAACCAACCTTTTTTCCCCATCTTTAAACTAGCAAAAGGAAATTCGGACACGCCCTAAGTGCACTTGCGCCGTGTGCTTTAGACCATGTGCGTAGATTGTTAAAATGGGTCCCATTTACTCACCCTCAAGTTGTTACAAACCTGTATGAGTTTCTTTCTTCTGCTGAACACAAAATATATTTTGAAGAATATGGGTAACCAAACAGATGATTGGCCCCATTGACTTTTTTGGGTGAACTATCCCTTTAAGTTAGAGATTCTCAAGCCATTTGCACTTAAATGTGAAATGACATCACTTCAGAGTTGCTCCATGAGCACAATGGCATTCTACTGAGCAAATCTGATTCTGTGAGAAGAATACATCAGTATCCTAGCAGAGACAGGACCTCTTACCACGGCTTGGGCGGTGATCCAGCAGGGTACGGCAGTCCAGTGCCAACCTCCGGGTGGCAACATGTTCCGGGACAGCCATGGGCATAAGAATATCAGCTCACAAACAACTCTTAAAGTCACAAAAATATTTATTTAGATAACCCCTTGGTTATCTATAACTAACAAATGCTGAATATATAAGAGAGCAGCCTGTTGTCTTGCAACTCACATTATCCTCTAATGTCCTAAAGTACAGAATTAAGAAAGTAAACTAACTTGTTGATCCAATACTCAGAAAGCCAAATCAACCGAAATAGAAACTCCCTGAAAAGCTCCCACCAACCACTTCTGAAATAAAATTATTAAATCCTTCAAAATCTTTTTACAACAACAAAAAAACAAGCAAGCAAACTAAATCCTCTGTAAAGCGTCTGGTTCTTGCGCTTTCTCAGATCTCTCTTTTTAAAGTCAATCACTGGGTTTTTGCAGGGTGTTCAGCTCACGGCATCCCTTCAGCTCTGGGCAGATTCCTGTGCCTCGTCTCACTTGCCTTCTCACTGACAGCGTCTCCTCGGTCCGACAAACTCCCACACTTTCTTTCTCTCTGGAGTTTATTGAGACAATGATGGAGGAGGAATAGTGGAACTCATTGTGTCAGTGAGATGTTTATTAATGAGAGAGAGAGCGCAAGCGAGAGAGAGAGAGAGCGCAAGAGAGAGAGAGAGAGAGAGAGCAAGAGAGAGAGAGAGCAAGAGAGAGAGAGCAAGAGAGAGAGAGAGCGCAAGACAGAGAGAGAGAGAGAGAGAGAGAGAGAGAGAGCAAGAGAGAGAGAGAGAGAGAGAGAGAGAGAGCAAGAGAGAGAGAGCAAGAGAGAGAGAGCAAGAGAGAGAGAGAGAGAGAGAGAGATGCAAACTGGCAAAATCCAAGGTCTGTCCTAACAAACAGGACTACAAGAAGTAGGCCCAAAAGAAATCTGCACCAGCAGAAACCTTCCAAAAACAAACCTCCAGAGTCTTTTGCAGAATAGAAATGACTATAATTGACAAATGTTTCCAGTTAGTAGCACAGCACTATCAAAATCTGAACAAAAGTTTGCAGATTCCATAAAGTCATAAAGTGATTGATGTAGTAGCAATGGATCTTTTCTTACGTATTGTGGTGTACATCCAAACAGATTATCAAAAAATATATAGGGCCGCTAGGGTGGGGACTTGATCTGAATGCAATCTTGCTATCGATTGTAAGGAAGGGCCGGGTTTATGCAGGGTTTTTTGCAGGGTGCAAAAAGTATTCTCGTCTCTTCATAACATTAAGGTTAAACCACTGTAGTCACATGGACTATTTTAACGATGTCTTTACTACTACTATTAGTTATATTAGTTACCAATGATCGCGCGCGCGAACTCGACAATCGACTACTGTGGACTTCGAACGAAAACAGGAAGTAAATACGGGTATGTGAGCTGGCTGAATAAACATCATTTTTATTCATATCTTTCACATTTACTGCAGTCAGATTGACCGTGGTCACTCTTAATAACACCACTCACATGGCTGTGCACTTGTAATGACACATTAAGGTTGTTAAGAGGCTAAAAGCAGGTTTAGAACTTGCCCCATTGAAGTCAACAGGGTGCGAATTTTAAAAAGAGGATAACACGGTCTAGGCAACACCGATTTTTGTCGTTTTTGTCTGTACTGACAGCACTCCAAATGTACAAAAAAATGAGCTCAATGTTAAAATTGACCGGAGTTCTCCTTTAAAAATATCTTAAAGGGATAGTTCACCCAAAAATGAAAATTCTGTCAGTAATTACTCACCCTCATGTTGTTCCAACCCCTTAAAACTTTCTGAGAGCTGAAATCTGAACCCCTTAAGACTGAAATCTGAGAGCTAGTGAGACAGAATACTGTTTGTGTGCAAAAAACAAAAAAATAACAACTTTATTCAACTATTCATTTTCTTCCGTGTTTTCTTCCAGAATTTTATTCTGCCGGGCCTCTGATGTGAGTTCCCGAGAGCGCCACGATGCATGAGCGAGAACTGAGAAGATGACGCAAATTAATATTTGAATAAAGTTGTTATTTTGGGGGTTTTTTGCGCACAAAAAGTATTCTCGTCGCTTGATAAACGTAAGATTGAGCCACTGTGGTCACTTGGACTATTTTAACAATGTTTTTACTAACTTTTCTTGACCGGTAGAATGAAATTGCCTAGAAGCCTATGAAGGAGTGAGACAGCTCTGATTTTATCAAAAATATCTTAATTTGTGTTCCTAAGATGAACGTAAGTCTTATGGGGTTGGAACAACATGAGGGCGAGTAATTTCTGAATTTTCATTTTTGGGTGAACCAACCCTTTTTAACTGATTGGATAAAAGTGCAGTCACATTTGAGAATTTAGTCAAAACTTTGCTGGCTCACACTGAAGTCACTTTCAAACCATGCAGCTTTCTTTTGGTCATCACAGCGGATTTGTATGATGACCAACATGAGCTAAATCTGCATGTGGAACTTTTTCAGCCAAATGTGAAACATAAACATGAATGAATTATTCAAAATAAGATCAATGAGATGTGAAACAAGTGAAACAAAATATTGAATAGAGGGCGGGTTTTTACTTTAGCGCACCTCCTCTCCATCCCTTGCTCATAGCAGATTGACGGATAAATATATTCAGAAAGACAGAAAGATATTCAACCCAAGATGGCAAATTGATGTTATCAGAGAAGGAACGCCATTCCAGAGCAGAAGCAAATTTTCAGATTTTGATTCAAAATTACCATGACAAACAATTTGTTTCTGTGTATTAACTTGCACGGATTAATTGATCACCACAAGACTAGTAATGTGCTCTTACAAAGTAAATAGGGTCCATTTTGATTTCAAGACAACTTTAAAGCTCTGCTAAAACTTAAAAAGGACAGTTTCTTTGAAAAAAAGATGTGGTGTTTAAGAACTGACAATCCTCATTTCGGGGAAACTGGCCATAAATGCTTCCACCAGACACACTAAATGATGTGGACAATTAAGCACAATAGTATTACATACTCTGAATGCTAACCAGCTAATTAAAAGCCTTTCAAATAACTCTTAAATAAAGATGCTGTTATACCTGCAAAACTCAAACAGCACAGCCAAATTCCACCAAACATTCACCTAAGTCTAACTGTTGTAACCAGGCAGTTTCCAATTAGGTTATAGTAACTAAATACTGTAGTTACTAGTTTACCATGGTGGATTTTAGTAGGTTTTCAATACATTCATGATGCGATACAAAATGTTACCTGTATACTTCACATGCACTGAACCTTGGATAATGTAGAATAAAGCTCATACCGGTCATGATTGCTTTCAGGTAACGCCAGATGTCGCTCTTGCACTCCACCAGTTACTGCGACGCACCGGCGTCCAGCGGTCCAAAGCCGGACTTCACGCCAAGCAAGCGGACGCTACTTTCCGTTCACTCTCAGTAGGAAAGCCCCAGGATGGTGTGAGGCCTACCGCTAGAGCACATAGATGAGATTCAAAACAGATCCCGCTGCACTTGAACACTGCTTGCATTTATAGGTACAGTTAACAACATGTTTGTGGTTTTGTTGGTGTTATGACATCAGTCCATTGTTGTGAAAAATGCTTTTCGTGTAGCTTTCCAGTCTGTTATTGTGAGCGATTTCTAACAAAACACGAATGTAAATACTTTTAGTAATTAGGCTAATCACGTTTTAACGGCGTTTTTCTTTTCATTCAGTTAATAAACTGACTTAATAATCCTCAAATAATGTGAAGAACATCTTAAGAAATTCACTGTCTAGACAGGGTGTGTAATACCGGTATGTTCAGTTGTTACTAAAAACAATTGTTTTTGAACATGCTCGTTTGACATATTAACACTTTCATAACTATAAAAAAACCCTAATCTCATATTTTTATTTCCTCACCCGTTGTTTTCAGTTGCATAGTCTGGTAGAAAGCTCCTCTCATGATCCGTCAACGTGCCAAAATAAATATAAGTGACTCGAATTCACTGCCTCTCATGTAATGACGGTGGTTCCACACAGTAGTGATTCAGACTCACACACTTCCTCTGAAAGCTGCACTATTATAGGAAAGCTGCATAGAGGAACTCCCCACTTTCAGATTATTAATTTTTAACATTTAGTAATTTTAAAAATAGTAATAATAATAATCATTATCACCTTATTATTATTATTATTATTATTATGTAACTGCATGGATATTAATAGACAAACCAAATTGATTCATCATGCATTGAAGTGTCAGTTGCTGATTAATTTTTTATTATTAATAACAATAATAATGTGAATTAAAATAAATAGCTGAACACTTACAGAATAATTGGTAACACTTTACAATAAGTTTTCAGTAGTTAACATTATTTAACTACATTAGTTAACATGTACTAATAATGAACTGCTCTTCTGTTCTACAGCATTTGTTAATCTTTTTTAATTTCAACATTTACTAATACATTATTAAAATCAAAAGTTGTATTTGTTTATATTAGTTAATGCACTGTGAAGTAACATGAACAAACAATGAACAACAGCTGTATTTTTATTAACTAACGTTAACAAAGATGAACAAATACAGTAACAAATGTATTGCTTAGTTCATGTTGGTTAAGACATTGATGGACAAATGAAATCTTATTGTAAAGTCTTACCAAATAATTCATAATTTTCTGAGAAATGCCTCTTTGGGTTCCTGGAATCAATGGGAAAGCCTTTTTTTATAAGTCTTTTAATTGCACTGAAGTAACAGATGAAGACATATGCTAATGAAGATATTTTCTTAAAGGTGAAGTAAGCGAATTCTGAGAAAGGCTGTTTATAAGTGGATCTGACCAAGCACCACAACAAACATGTATCCAATCAGCAGTAGGGGCGTGTCCACTCATGATGGGGGAGGGGCAGGGGCACGGGAAGTACGGGTGCTGTTCCCTTTCGAGAGGTTCCTCCTATTGCGTAAGTAGCTTACGCAATGGGAAAACTCCTTTTCTCGAGAAATATTGAAGTCTTTATGTAAAACGCATAGCAGCTGCACAGCATACAGCAATGAGTGAGGCAGCTCGGTCATTGGCTGTGCTGCGGCAATTGCACGAACCTATGACGGGGCGACTCTGAACCTGCTTCCAATGAGCGTGCTTCGCGCCCGCGCGCGTCAGAGCCCGCCAAGATGGCCAAGGACTATATATTGGGCGCCCCGTCGTCTGAGTTCTTTAGATTTAATCTCCTTCAGCAAAGACCTTCTCTTCGCTGGATCCTCTGGATTTCTTGGAGTCTTTTCGCCGCCGCCGTCGACAAGCCTACAGCAGGACTGCTTCGAGGACGCCGGCGCCTTCAGCCGCCTTCGATCGCCTTCTGCTAAGCCATCCGGCGCGCATCACCTTTTATATCCTTTTCAAAGCTAACAGTGTTGGCCCCCGCGACACTTTCTAAAAGAGCAAATTACAAGGCGTTGTTTCAAATGCCTTCCTGCGCCTCGTGTCGAGGCCCTCTTCAGGACGGGGATCGTCACATCATTTGCACCCGCTGCTTGGGACCGGACCACGCAGAGGCTGCCCTTACTCGAGGCGGATGTCCCGAGTGTGACGCCCTGGGCCTCACCGAGCTGCGCGCTCGCTTCGCCGTTTTCACCGCGAAAGAGCCCACTTCCTCCGTGCTGCCATCCCCTCTGGTCGAGCCGCGCAAGAAGAAGCGCCGCTCACAGAGGCCGCCAGAGCCTCCCGAAGATTCCCCGCCGCCAGTCCAGTTCACACAGGCGGACCAGCACCCCTCCAGCGGAGCGATGGGGCTCGTCTCGTTTGGCGCGTCAGGGGATGACGACGACAAGGATGACAGCCTTTCCTGTGATGCTGCATCCGACGACTGGCCGGGCTCGTCCTTCGACCCCGCGCCATCGACATTAGCGGGCACGAGCGTGGGCTCCAGCATGGACTCAGAGATCGTCCGCATCCTATCTAAGGCCGTGGAAGACCTCGGGCTCGATTGGTCTTCCCCGGAAGAACCCGCCCGCAGCCGACTGGACGAGTGGTTCCTGCAGGGGCGCCGACAGGCCCCTCGACAAAGGCCCTCCCCTTTCTTCCCGGAAGTTCACGACGAACTCACGAAGTCGTGGAAAGCCCCGCACTCCGCTCGCCTGAAGCCTTCTTTTTCTTTGTCGCTCTCCTCTGTGGACGGCGCGAAAGAAAGAGGTTATGAGGGGACTCCGCCCCTCGAGGAGGCTGTGGCCAATCATCTGTGTCCACCCTCCAACGCTGGATGGAAAGCTAAAGCTTCTCATCCCTCGAAGCCTTGCCGGTCTACTTCAGCTCTCGCCGGTCGCGCATACGCCGCCGCCGGCCAAGCTGCATCAGCGCTTCACTCTATGGCTGTCCTCCAGGTGTTTCAAGCTAAACTTCTCCGCAGTATGGACGGGTCTGGACCTGATCCTGAGGCATTCAAAGACCTGCACAGCGCCACCGACATAGCACTGCGAGCCACAAAGGCCACCGCCCAATCCATCGGCCGTGCTATGGCTAACCTGACTGTCCTTGAGCGCCATCTGTGGCTGACGCTAACAGAGATGAAGGATGCAGATAAGGCGTCATTCCTCGACGCGCCTATCTCCCAAAGCGGCCTGTTCGGACCAGCGGTGAAGGAGTTCGCTGAGCGCTTCACCGAAGCCCGTAAGGATTCGCAGGCTATGCGTCACTTCCTGCCCAAGCGATCTAGCTCATCGCAGAGCCGCCAAAGGCCGCCTCAGCAGCAGCGAGCTAAGACGGAGCCTCCCGTCTCTCAGCCCAGACCTGAAACTGACTTTCGACGCCGCTCGCGCTCTACCAACAGGAAGCAACCGCCCGAGCGACGGGGACCTCGGCCCAAGATTGTGCTGAACCCAGAGCCTCGTAAGTCCTCCTAGCTACAGGGAGAAAAAGGGAGAGCGCGTGTCTCGCAAAAGCCGGACCGTTCTCTCCAAAACGCTTAAAGCATTACCCAGTCCCCTTACAGGCGGCTGGAAATGTCTGTACATCAGCCAATGTGCCAGCCACACAGCTCGCTCACCTGCAAACAAATGCCGTTTTTACGGCGACACACAGAAATCACATAAAGAGCCATTTTCTGCCTGTGTCATTAAAGGGTCACGTGTCCACACCAAAGTGCGCATTCCCACATATCAAAACTGTCAAAACAGTGCCAAATGCTTTCCCAGCTCAGGCTGGACGCCCCATAAATGTAGATTGTGTGCCAACTGTCACGTATGCACCACTACACATAAGCACTGTACCCACAGTTATAAACACTTCCCCAGTAAAAGCGGGAAATCCTATAAGAGTAACGCGTGTGCCCGCTGTTATGCACGCACCCCAACTCACAAACACTGTTTCTATGGCCAAAGACCTCCCGCCACGGGCGGGAAGTTTTATGAAAGTGGCGCGCGTGCCTACCACAGTTTATGCACCCCCACCCATAAGCACTGTCCATACAGTCTTAAACATTTCCCCATCTCACACTGTGAGCTTTACGGCGAGCGTGCCTGTAATCTCACACGCACCCCTGCACTCGGCATTCAACAAAGCTGCTCAGCGCGCGCCCGCGCCTCTGAGAGCTATAAGCTCGGTATTAGCACAAGGCGATTTGCCGGCGGGAGCCATGCGTCACTGCGACACGCCCCCAGCCAATATTCAGCCCATATCTGTGCGAGCGAAAGCTTGGGAAAATATCCCCGACATGCCGAAATGGGTTTTGAACATAATAAAACACGGTTACTCGCTTCAATTCGCTCGCAGACCACCCCGCTTCACAGCAGTGGTCGAGACGAAAGTGAGAAAAGATGTTTCACATGTTCTACGCACCGAGGTGCTCAAACTGATAGAGAAAGGCGCTATAGAAATAGTCCCTCCCTCTATGAGAGAGGCAGGTTTTTACAGTCGATATTTTCTCGTCCCGAAGAAGGATGGTGGTCTCCGCCCCATTCTAGATCTCAGACAAATCACGGCTGCGTAAGAGCCCTGACGCCCTGGAAAGCTGTCGACTGGTATCAGTCCGGTGTGAGTTTGGGCGTGAACACAAGGAGAAAAATTATCACGACAGATGCCTCCAAAATAGGTTGGGGGGCCCTTTACGAGGGCAGGCCTGTCTCCGGCTTGTGGTCAAACCCGGAGAAGCGCCTACATATAAACTGTCTGGAATTGAAAGCGGTCGCTTTGGCTCTCAGAGCCCTGCTTCCGTACCTGAAGGACGAGCACGTCCTAGTCCGAACGGAGAACATGACGGTAGTCTCGTACATAAATCGTCAGGGTGGACTCAGATCGAGCTCCCTGCACTCGATGGCCAGGGAGCTCCTCCTATGGCCCTAGCGCAACCTGCGCTCGCTGAGAGCAGCGCATGTGCCAGGGGTTCTTCCAGGGAGCGGACATGCTGTCCAGAGACAAAGTTCTCCCAGGAGAATGGTCTCTCCACCCCCTGACGATTCAGTGGTTATGGCAAGAGCAGAGGAGAGGACCTTTGGCAGAGCAGAGGTCGACCTCTTTGCCTCCAAGGAAAATGCGCACTGCCCTCTCTTCTTTTCAAAGAGCACAGACGCGCTCGCCCAAATCTGGCCGAGCCGCCCGCTGTATGCCTTCCCTCCGGTCGCGATGCTACCTCAGGTCATCAGTCGGATCAGGGAGGAGAAATGTGCAGTGCTCCTGGTAGCCCCACTCTGGAAGAACCAGACGTGTTTTCTGGAACTGATGCAGATGATGCAATCTGCTCCATGGCCGATTCCGCTGAGGCTGGACTTCCTCAGGCAGGCCAGCGGGATGATTCTCCATCCCCGCCCCGATCTGTGGGCCCTCCATGCATGGCCCCTCAACGGGTTCCCGGGAACCTCCCCAGTGGAGTGTTGAGAACCATCACTGAGGCGCGAGCGCCCTCTACGAGGCGCTTATATGCCCAGAAATGGAAGGTGTTCAGTGACTGGTGTAGATCCAGGAACCTGAACCCTGAGACATGCGAAGTACCGAGTGTGCTCGTTTTCTTACAAGAGCTGTTGGAGGCAGGCCGCACCCCCT